GCATCGGAAACCGCCAGGGATCGGCAGAGATCGGCGGCGGATAGAGGCGGAGAACGGAGAGGTGAACGGTTTAAGGTGGCAAGGGGAAGAAACAATTGCCATCACTTCCCCGCGCTCGATTTCTTTGCGAGCACCGCGGAGGATTTGGATAGAGGAGGAGGGATTCTGTAATTTACGGAATTACCATTGGGCCCTTTTGAGGGCGTTTAAGAGGAGAATGAACAAAACAAAACGAAACGAAAACAAAAAATATCGGCATGGAAGTTTTTTGGAAAAATTATGTACGGACCCAAAAAATTGAAAACCCATGTGACTAGGCCCTTGCATCTTTCTATCACGTACAAAAGCCCCAAATACATGGCTTTTTTGTGTTTCAACACCAATTACATGCCCAACTCAAAAGTGAGAGAAAATTCTCATGCTCCTGCCCAAAATACCCCTCATAATGTCCCATGTCGTTATTGTAGTTGACCCGCCAATTTTTTTTTTTATTTTTTTTTTGGGGGGGGGGCTATTTGAAAATCTTTTAGGGGTTATTTGCAAAAAAATATAAATGTGTGTAAAACTTTCTAGGGTTATTAGCAAAATCTTTAGGAGTTTTATTGCAAAATTTTAGGGGGTTATTTGCAATTTCATCACTTCCTAGGGGCCATGCTACTATATTTGTAGGGGTTATTTTCAATTTCCAAAACCTTAAGGTGGTTTTTTTAAAATCTTTAAGAGGTAATTTACAATTTTTTATGCTTTTTAGTCGGTTTCAAAGTTTTTGGGATTTATTTGGAATTTTGAAACTTCTAGTGGGTTGTTTGTAAAAAATTTAAGGGGGCTATTTGCAATTTCTATAACTTTTAGGAGTTTTCTATAATTTTTGTAACTTTCAAGGCTATTTACTAATTCCAAAGGGTTGTTTGCAATTTGAACCTACAGGGGTTGTTTGTAAAAATTTTGGAGGGTTACTTGCAATTTTGTAAATTTTTATTGGTTTTTTAGCAAATTCTTTAAGGGTTTATTTGCAATTTCTAAACCTTTCAAGAGGTTCTATAAAATTTTTAGGGGGAGTTATTTACAACTTGTATACATTTTAAGAGACTGTTTGTAAAAAATTTATATATCTAACATCTATTTGTTAAAATTAACATCTATCTGTTAAAATCAATGCTACCTTATATATTTAACATCTATACTTATTAAAATTAACATGTGTAAGCTATACAATTAACATCTGTATGTTAAAATTCATTTTAGCTAAGTATAGTTAACAGCTATTTGTTAAAGCTAACAAGTAATCTATATAGTTAACATCTATCTATTAAAATTCATTATTACCTCATATATGTAACATCTATTTTTTAAAATTAACATGTAATCTATATATTTAACATCTATTATGAGATGAGGGAGGCCTTTGGTCTCCCCCTCATTATCCCTCCATTCACACCCCATTATGGTGATGTAACACCCCATTAAGTGAGGGTGACTCTTGGGTACTCAACCTATTCACATTGATTAGTATAAATATATATCATAGGCCTTTGGCCTATGTACTTGCTTTAAACACGTTATCAGCATGAAGTGTTCTTGAATCCCTGAGCCATAAAAAAATATATATTTCCTTCCTCTTTTGCGCATTGAGATCTGGTTCGTTGCAGCGGGAGCGTTCGACGGATCATCGCAAGGAGGCAGCGTTCTACGGATCTTTAGTACCGATCGTCCCTAGATCTGTGATCTAGAGGTAATTACTATAATCCGTAGAATAATATATGGCAGCTGAAAAATTAACAAGGGAAAAAAAAATTTGTTACTGTTCACCAAGGGTTACTGTTCACTCGGGAAAAAAAAATTTTTAAGCAATTTTATTGTTGTTCATCTAATCTAATTGCTTTCATTATTTGTTGGGATAACTAGTAATTAATACTATTAGTTAATTGCTAATCAAAAAAAAAATTTATGTGCTCATGTTGATGAAACTGGCGAGAAGTTCTGCGGCTTCTGCTAGTTTGTAAAAATTCATATATTGTGTTAAATTTGCACATTTACGCTGATAGCACTTCCTATTACCATGAATATTATTTGGTTTTGCTTAGTATTAACGGAAGTGACCATTGCTAGGGAAATGCTCTTAAATTACATATTCTTGAGAAGAAAACAGTAACACCAACACCAAGGTATTATTGTATATGTCCAGTTAACATGACATAAAATCATATTTGGCCCCTATAGTTTTTAATGCTATTCTTTAAACACATATACATTTTTCTAATGGAATGCTAAACCCTTGGTTGTTTCAGAGTTTCCATTCATGGCACTTGCATTATTTTTTTTAATCATCACTTGTTATTTTCAAGTTAAAACTCACAATTTCTACATGATATTAAAAGTATTAAGTAGGCAGTATCGCATAGAAACAAAAAGAAGTCTAGAAAAAAATTCAAAGAAAGCAAGGGTTTACTGTCCAAATTTGTTATGCCTGTTGCATATATTATTATTAAATTACATGGATGTTTAAATAAATAATGTTGTGGTTTTTGGATCAGCCTGTTTGTCACCAAATTTAAATTCCTTGTATTTTCTTTTCCTTCTGAGAGAGAAATTGTAGTGAGGATATAATTGTAAAAAGTCAAAGACCGGTGTATTCCATTGAAGACGAAGGCATTTTTGCAAAATGCAGGGACCCCCAAGGGTTTTCCAAATTGTATTTTAATTTTATGTTTTTTGTTATCTTTGGACTGTATAATCGGACTTTGGACACTTTTTATTTTTTGGTGACGGGCTGATCCACGCAACATGTTTATTGCATGAATTTTTAATTCCTTATTATTAATTCATGTCTTTCAAATGCATAGATAAAATGGCTAAAATAGCGAGTGTTGATTTCGAAGTCCTTGACGCTGCTGGCAAGAATTATTTGAGTTGGCATGTGGACCTGAAGTTCCACTTACGTGCCCAGGGCTTATTAGCCACAATTTCAACTCCTGCTCCACCGGCTCCGGCCACTGTTACGGGTAATGCTGTAAATAATGCTGAGGTTGCTACTACAGTGATCGTCTCTGATATAGATAAGGCGAAAGCCATTATCTACATCAGGAGACATATTGATCGGACCCTGAAGGCCGAATACCTGACTGTAGAGGACCCAAAGGAATTGTGGACTGCACTTGAGGACCGATACAAACATCAGAAAGATGTGATCCTCCCACGTGCACGTTATGAGTGGGAAAACCTCCGACTTCAGGACTTTAAGTCCGTAGCTGAGTACAACTCAGCACTTCATAATATCACCTCACGCCTGAAGTTGTGTGGTGAAGAAGTTTCGGAGGAACGCATGTTGGAGAAGACTTACACATCCTTCCACGAGAAGGATGCAATCCTCATGCAACAGTACCGCGAACGAAAGTTCAAAAAGTATTCTGAATTGCACTCCACCCTTCTGATGGCGGAGCAAAACAGAGAATTGCTTTTGGCCACTCATAACCTACGCCCTGCAGGCTCAGCTCCTCTACCCGAAGCTCACATGTTTTCTTCCCAGAAGCAGAAGAAAAAGCATAAGGGTAAATTCAACAAGGGGAAAGCCCCTAAGTGGCAGGCCAGATGTCCACCCCAGAAAAACAACCCGCCCCAGAGCAGCAATAGTGAGGGAAAGAAGAAGTGGAAGAAGAAGACCACTGAGCTGTCGTCCATTCCCAAGAACACTTGGGAGGACAAATGCCACAGATGTGGCATGACTGGACATTGGTCCAGAAACTGTCGCACTCCGCGACACCTCCAAGATCTGTATCTAGCGAGCCAGAAGTCTCCTGTTGAAACAAATCTGGTGGAAAAGCAGCCGTCTACTCAGTTCACTGCTGATGACTTCGAAATGGATGATCTTCTCGACTAGATCCATGTTATCTTTATATGCATTTAAATTCTCATAGTACTTTCATCTTTAGTTCTTTACTTTCCATGTAATGCAATTTACTTTTCAATAAAGATAGTTATTTTCTTTAGATTAAAATATTGCATTCATGTTATAGATGAAGTGTGAGTGCCTTGTGGACAGTGCCTCGACGCACACAATCCTTCGCGAAAGAAGCTATTTCAAAAGCTTATATGATTATGACGATCCCGTAATTACGATTTCGGGACTATCTAACATAATAGAAGGATTTGGTGAAGCAATGATATTGCTCCCAAATAAAACGAGACTAATAATAAAAGATGCATTATTCTCTCCGAAATCTAATAGAAACCTCATAAGTTTCAAGGATATTCGTTTAAACGGATATCACTTAGAAACCAATGATATAAATGAGGATGAGTATTTGTATGTAACTCGTCAAAAAGATGGTTCAAAAACTATCTTAGAACGATTCAAGGGACTCCCGTCGGGTCTCTATCATACATATATTCAACCAGTAGAAGCTAACATGATTGTGCACCAGAAGTGCCATTCTTCGACGAAATTTAAACTTTGGCATAACAGACTGGGTCACCCAGGATCAGCAATGATGCACCGCATCATGAGCCAATCAAGTGGACACAACCTGAAGAACCTAAAGATTCTTCAGAAGGGTGATTACTCATGTCTATCTTGTTTCCAAGGTAAACTGATCACGAGACCTTCCCTTCTGAAAGTGGGATTAGAGTCTCCTAGCTTCTTGGAGAGAATACATGGCGATATTTGTGGGCCTATTCACCCCGCAAGTGGACCATTTAGGTACTTTATGGTACTTATAGATGCATCAACAAAGTAGTCTTACGTGTGTCTTTTGTCTACCCGCAACTTAGCTTTTTCAAAACTATTGGCACAAATTATTAAGTTGCGGGCTCATTTCCCCGATAATCAAATCAAGAAATTACGTCTTGATAATGCGGGAGAATTCACTTCACAAGTCTTTCAAGACTATTGCCTAGCAACTGGCATCGAAGTTGAACATCCTATAGCACATGTTCACACCCA